AAAAGAAGAGGATGAGAAAGTTGAGATACGAGTATGTAGCAACGATTTTGCTACATGAATTAAATGAAAAAAGGGATCAAGCCTTTGTTGAAACAGAAGAGTGGTCAATGTTTTCACTGAAAAGAGGAAGAAGTTCAAAGAAAACAGAACAAAAATAATACCCAAAAGGCAGTGTTGATTTAGAAGATTGGAAGTTCGAATCTTTTGTTTATTTGAACATGAACTTTATTTAGTATCTTGAACATATATGAATGTAATTTAACATATCTTCCTATTTTGTTGAACATATATGAATGTAACTTAACATATCTTCCTGTTTTATTGAACAAATCTTCCTGTTTTGTTGAACATATATTTAATCTATAAATTAAAATGTATTAGAATATAATCAAGTTAAATGAATATTTGAAAGTACAATAATCTAATTGATGGTAATTGAATCTAAGTGAAGGTAATTGAACCTAGATGAAAGTATTTGAACATAGTTGAAACTACTTGAATATAATTGAAAGTTATCTTAGATGTTACATACTCTTAACATAATGTCTTATTCATGTTCCACTAAACATAAAATAAATGTAATTGAACATTATCTTACATGTGGCATAGTACTTCCTATGGTACTTGAATGGAATTGAATCATGGTTAAGGTAATTGAAGCTAAATGAGTTTAACTAAAAATAATTAAATGTAATTTGATATTATCTCAAATATGTCATAGTATTGTAAATGAATGTATATGATGTAATTGAATTAAGTTGAATGCAATTGAATCCTTCTTAAGGTAGTTGAATGCAATTGACTCCTTCTTAAGGTATTTGACTGTAATATGAATCAAGGAAATTCATCATAAATGAATGTGACTGAAGCTAAATAAATTCTTTTTTTAAGATATTTGAATGTAATGTGAATAAATGAAGGTCATCATACATGAATGTATTAGAAGCTAAAAGGATAACTAAAAGTAATTAAACTTAATTGAAGGTACTTGAACTTAATTGAAGGTAATTTAATGTTATCTCAAATATGACATAGTATTGTAAATAAATGTATTCCAAGGTATGTAAATGTAATTAAATTAAGTTGAACATAATTGAATACTTCTCAAGGTAGTTGAATGTAATTGAATACTTTTCAAGGTATTTGAATATAATCCTTGTTAATATATTACAAAGTATTGTAAATGAATGAATATGTATGCATATTCTTGTTATTTCTTTTACCTAAACCTAAAAAATTGACTCATAAATTAACTTTCACATATGGGATTTCAATCAAATTGAAGGTAATTGAACTTGGTTGAAGGTGATTGAACTTGATTAAACATATATTTAATATCAAACCCAATCATCATCAAATGTTTCTTAGAATTGTAAATGAAGCTAAGAAACATAAATGAAGGAATTTGGAGCCAAATAAAGATATTTAAAGAAAAATGAACTTAATAGAAGGTTACTAAATGTTATCTCGACTATAACATAGAAATGTGGATGAATGAATTTGAAGGTAATTGAAGTAATTGAAGCTAAATGAAACTAAAGGCTACTATACTAAACTATTGTTCTTTATTCAAGGGAGAATTCCTTGAATCATGGCTTCCTCTTTGTTGACACTTTCAACATAGCCTTTTTCCGCTCAAGCTTTTGTTGATTGCTTCCTCATGTGCACCAACATATCTCTTGTAAGAACCACATCCTTTATTCCTTATGTTTGAAGGAACTTCAACAGCAATCTCGGAAGGTTTAGTTTCACTAAGAAAGGATTGAATTGTTTCTTTTCTGCTCATCATCGACTCAGATAAACCAGCAACATCCAAATCAAATTCATAGAATTGTAAATGAAAGTATCCGAAGTTAACATAATTTAAGGTAGTTAAAGGCAATCTCTATAAAAAGGCAATCTCTATAAAAGAAATGAAATGAATGAATGTATTTGAAGGTAGATGAAGATAATTGAACCTACTTCAAGGTAATTGTGTGTTATGTCAAATGTTACATATAATTGTAAATGGAAGTATTTAAAAAGTATTTGAAGTTAATTGAATAGATTAAAGGTAAGTAAATCCTTTTTAATGAAAAATAGAAACTAATTGCTTAAAATTTCAATTACATCCAAGCACATTCAACTAAGTTCAATATACATATAAGTGAAATTGAACTTACTTGAACATATGTAAGGGTTTGTAATAAAAGCATAACAAAAACAAACCTTCACCAAGATCTTGAACATCAACATCATCAAATGAAGGTTTCACCAGCATCAACATCATCAAATGAAGGTATGTTAACTTCATCAACATCCAAATTTATTCTTAAACCTATAACATAAGAACATCAATCATATGTTATCTTTAACGCAAATTTATCATCAATTATTAGAAACTAAATCGGATAATAAACTAATATAAGCTACAAACACACGAATTGCAAAATTCAGCATCATAAATATAGAATCTAATAAACATCAAATATTCAAATTGAAGCAAATGCAACAATGAAATCTATGAAATCAAACACAGGCAAGGAGAACCAGACATCAATTGAATTTGTATATGATCAAACATAAATAAAATAATGAAAAATCGAACAAATCAAACAAATTGATAACGTATAAAAAACGAACAATGCAATATATTCCGGAATATTAATGAACAAAAAATTAAAAAAATCACAAATTAAACAACAAAAGACGAACCAGACATCAATTATGAATAAATAATCAACAATAAGCAAAACCTAGATGATTTAAATATAGATTTGAAGATCATAAAGAGAAAAAAAAAGATTTTAGGCCGAATTTACTTGAATCATAGCCGTGAAATCGAGAGAAATCCAGTGAAGAAGAGAGAATTTCGACGAGTAGAGAGGATTCTGACGATAACTCCTCCCGACACATTTACAATGAATGAGACTAAAGTTAAAAGAATTATAAAATGATAGAAATACCCTTCCAGTGTATTTTAGGAAATAATTTGGGAATTAATCTAAGCCATTGGATTAATACTAATTAAAATTGATCAAGTGCTCAAATCTCTTATTACCCTTCTCATCTTAAATCTATTTCTCACATGATTCCATCCATATATATATATATATATATATATATATATACATGTATACATATATATATATATATAAACTAGTTGTTAACCCGTGCAATGCGGCGGGAGCAGTAAATGTAAACGATTTCGAAGCTTTGGCGGTTTTGTTATTTTAAGGATGATATATTTACACTTGCGAGATATTTATCCAAATTTTTACTCAATAAGCGCTTAACGGTAATTCTTAAGTTCTAGCAACTTAAGATATTACTTCTTTTGATCAAACTCATAAAAATGGTAAGTGCAAAGATTAAAAACCACATAGCAGATAATAACAATAAAATACCATTCATCAAGAAGAGAAATCAAAATAAACATAACTGATCCATGAAAGACCCCCCAATTTGTGTACATTGAAACATATAATATGGAGAGCATGTAAGGCAAGGCAAAACACACATCCCTTCGTCGCTCCATCGACTGAAACTGCAAGTCCTTTATCCCCCTCCTTCCAACTCCGTTCTGCCCATCCATGGTGGCTATGTACCCCCCACACCCAAAACAGAAAACCCAATGCACAGAAATAAACAGAGAAACATCAACTTTGGTTGCTTATTATCAAGAAACCCGACATAGCAGGAAATGTATTTGAAACTATAAACATAGAAAACATCAACTTTGGCATTTATTATGAAACTATAATTTTTTTAAATGTATTTGACCATGACTTTGACTTATAAGCACAAGGACCTATAGATGTACTTCGATTAATAGTAGGAAAGACCAAGTGTGATTTGACTATTGTATTTCATCAATTTGGATATAAAGATAAACAAGATTGAATGGTAGATGCATCACTATATATCAAAGGTCCTATTACTTCCTTCTGCTCAAAGGCTTTAACAATTCCTTTATGTGTATACACAGATCTTGGTGTACTTCTCTTGCTCATTTACCTTGAGTAGATCGTATTTAAAGATAGGGACCATACTCATTTAACTTTAACTAAATTTAAGCAGTTTTAATCAGATTATTGGACAATTTTTGATGGTTGGATGGCAGTCTTGTGGGCTCTAAGTAATTGTCTACACCACATCTAGTTTCAAAAAAGCAAACAACACATTTCATGGTTTGGAATATTCATTTTCTTTGGGGGGGAGTGTGTGTGCGGTCTTTATTCATGTATGGAAGAGTGTAGAGACTAAAATAATATCAATTTCAAGAAGGCAACTAATACTAATCAATAGAAAAATTGATTTCATGAAAGCAACTAATACTATGTTACTCAATAGAAAGCAACAAAAAAGTAATCGATAGAAAAATCGATTCCGAGATGGAAAACTAATTACCTTAATTGATCGATTTCGGTAGATGGAGACTGAAGCAAGAAAGCAATCTCCAAGCACCTGATATCAAATACAAGATAGTATAGATCAGCTTAATTTACATGTGTTCTTACAGCTTACTTACTTGGAGGCTATCTAGAAGGACAAATTATACCAAAACCTGCAATAAACATGCCTTTGCATCAGCAATAGGAGATACAGTTGCCTCCTTTGGGAAAAAAACTGATCTATTGACAAAGAAACTACTTCCTTCAACATAGAATCCACCAACAAAAGAATGTAAAAATAAATCCCATATCATAAAAAGATCTAGAGGGAATCAAACATAGTAAAAAGATCTAGAGGGAATCAAACATAGTGGAATCAAACATAGTGAAATAAAAAGATCTTAATTAGTTATCTCACCTCCCTCCCCCACCAAGAAAACATTAAAAAAGAAACTTGCCTTTACCCCACCCCCTCTTCTTTCTTTCTTGCATTCACATTCACATTCATCGAAATATATGTGTATGTATATATGTGTATATATATATATATATATACCAACCTATCTAACATTTCAATCAACAAAAAGTCTTGAAAGACAAACAAAATTTAGTTGGTCCAGTTCATCAATACATTTTTGAGAAAGAAAAAGCGAAGAGCAAAATGAATATGGAGGATGGTTTGAATCTTACATTGGGATTACCTGGAAGAGGAGATGAAGAATCAACCATTTCATGCTTCAAGAACAACAATAAACGGTCGCAGCCTGAAACCAATGATGACTGCGATGAATCCAACCAAGCCAAAGAGGGTGACATGGAAACTTCACCTGCAGCCAAATAAGTGAATTAATTAATCATACACATGCAGTCGAGTCTTTTAGTTTGGTGATATGTGATTAAATCCAATTGATGATGGCAGATCACAAGTGGTTGGATGGCCGCCAGTGCGTAAATACCKAAGGAACAGCAATATAAGTGGTAGCAAATGCAAAATGTAGATTGAATAAAAATCAAAATCTCTCTTTATGTTTGATATGAAATAGCAGAGAGGCATACCATGATTGATATTCATCCTTGAGATTTTCTCTATTATGAAAAATGGATTGTGCTATATACCATCTATAAATGTTAGGATGGCAATCCATCAAGAGTTGTAACTTCACGACAACATAAATCACTAACAGTACATGTTATGCATCTATAGTGAAGAAGATAAAAGTATTACCCAAGTATCCATGTCATAAAGGAGCCGATGGCAAGCCCTTCAGAAGATTTTTCTTTGACATTTGTGATGATCTGAGGTACCTCTGCGACACCCCAACTGACAACATTAACTATTCCCAATATCAGCGAAATCCAGTCCTTCCTTGAACAAAGACAATACTTCATATAAGCACAAATATTATAAACATCTTACCCGGAGAAAGCCAACAATTGAGAAAATGGTAAGATTGGTGTTCGATTTACACCAAACCGTTGGGGAAAAAATTAAACCCTAAAACCCAAAGCAACCTTGAATAAAATCAAGAAGCAATTCCCAAAAATTTACGGCTCATATTAGAGAATCGTACCAGGGGCGAAGAATGAAGAGATGCAGAGACAGAGCGAGAGATGCAAAGCGAGAGCAAGAGATGCAGGGCGATTGAGGAAATGGAAATACCATTAATGTGAACCCTAACCTCGATCATTGGTATGGTCGATGTTGATATATGAACCAGAAGCCATGTTGGTGGGTCGTCGGAAGCGGATGGAATCGGATGGAGAAATCGACAAAAGTGGTATTGAACTAGAAGGCATCTTGGAGACTGAATCATCGGAAGTGAGCGTGGATTTGCTTTGGAAAGGGAAGTGAGCGTGGAGTTGCGTTGGAAAGGGAAGTGAGCGTGAGGGTGAGAGTGAGAGTGGAGCGTCTTTTGAAAGTGAGAGAGAGTCGGGTTATCAAAGTATGCTTTATAGAGTTGTACTAAATGCTTTAGAGGTTGTATATTTTTAAGACTTTAAGACTCAATGCATAAAAAGATAGTATTTTATGCATCAAAACTTGTTTTTAAGACTTTTACCAAATCTCATTTATAAAGTAGTATAGATTAAGAGATTTTAAATAATGTGTTTTAAAAAGCAGTAAGAAGTCAATAAGATAGTATAGATAAGGGTATTTTGGTCATTTATAAATTTAAGCCTTTAAGGCTTTTATAGAATTTGCTTTATAAGGTAGTATAGATATATATACATAGATATATACATACATACATATATACATACATACATATATACATACACATATATATACATAGACATACTATATATATACAAATATATACATACATATACATATACATATACATATACATATACGTATACATATATATTCACACACACACACACACATATATATATATATATAGATGAATGATTGCGTGAGAAATTTTTTTGGTGGGAAGTGTAATAAAGGATCTCCACATGTAACAACCCTTCCACATTTATATAAAATTCACATATTTCATATAACATTAAATATAAATATTACAAACTGGTCCCAAAATATACAAATAGCTACATACAAAAGTAGCTACAAACTTTTTTCTCATATAAAATACATCACTTGTATATAACACATTCTGAAGTACATGCATAAATTCATCTTCCAAAAAATTCCACAAATGTAAAGCACTAATCATTCATTCACATCTTTCCCTTTCCTTTACCTTCCACCTGTGCTCGTCTTGTCATGCACATTTTGAACAAAAAATGAGGGTTAGACCATAAGGTCAAGTGAGTAATTCCTTTAGTTGTTATTACAAGATGAAATCACCAAAACACTCCTTGGACAGCTAGTAATTATAGAGGTAATATAAAAATATCATTTATTTTAACAAACATTCATATGTCAGATCATATAAATGAGACAACCCCATTTCATCGCCTCAAACACATGATATATCCAGTTTGTCACATCCAACATATAATGCACCAACTTGTCGCGTCCGATTACGTGCGATAAAATAATTCCTCGCATCACTAGGATGCGATAAGTCGTTTCCCCGCGTCACAATGATGCGATAGCCACCATTTCTCTCACCACATTAGTGTGATAACCCTTTTTGTCGCATCATACTGATGTGATCACTTATCGTCTCATTCAGCAGATGCGATAACTTAATCTCATTGTATCCAACAAATGTGATAACATAATTACATAAGTTCAGAATCTCATTTAAGAAACTGTGATTATGCCCCTTCTTCTAGTATATGTTTCTCTTGATTATGCCACCCTTATTTCAAAATATACATCTCTCCTGATTATGTTACCCTTATACCATATACACCTCTCTTGATTATGTCACCCTTATCCCAACCAGTTAATAATCACATAACAAATTTAAATTATGCTAAGATACATATAGCATATAATCATCTCCATGAACACCTAGTTACGAACCCATACAATTCCATATAAAAGTATTTTAACTAAAGTTTTGACATAATACTCACCTTGTAATACAAGTAGATTGAAGACTTTAAACAACATAACTAATCAGATAAAAGATGTAAGATTTTTTCCTTCTATTTTGTTTGAACCAAGAATCAACAATGGCTTCACCAACTTTTCTTTCCTCTTAAACCAACTTTTAAGGAGATAGAAAGAAAATACCAAAACTATGTATATATATTGTGATAACCAGATCCTGGTTATTACCCAAGGTATTTAATACATGATTATTTGACTAAATAATTTTCGTGATAGCATGATAATTTGCTACGTGTGGGTATGTGCATTTATGCATTATGTGAATATAGAAAATATATATGTGTGTATGTATGTGCATACATGATATATGTTATGTGTATATATGTATGTATGCATGAGTGTGTAAGGTGTGTGTGTGTGCATAAGTTTATGTGGTGTGTGTGCATGCACGTGGCCTGTGAGTTTAGCCGACTTTCCCTTTTGGGAAAGTATAAAAAGAGGCTTTAACCTCTTTAATTGATTTCCTGCCATTTTTGAAAGAAAGTTGAGAGGTTTTTGAGAGAAGTATTGACCGGTTTATTTCAAGAGGTGAATTCGAGTGCTGGATTTCAAAAGGGTTGATTTCAAGAGTTTTGTATTCAAAAGCTTTTAATGGTGAGTGGTTTCTAAATCTTTTGCATAAAAATTTACTACTGATTTTATTAGTATGCTTCGTATTCTTATCCTTTGAAAAGAAACTTTGATTTTATTGTCTAAGTGTTTATCCGAACAAAGCTTGACCGGATAAGCATTTAAACCGGATAAAGCTTGATCGGATAAGGGTATAAATCGGACAAGCCTTAGGCGGTTTAGTGTCCGGATTGTCTTAAACCGGACATGCCTTGAAAGGTTTAGTGACCGGATGGTTTTAAACCGGACAAACCTTG